CCGGTCGGACGTACAGTCAGACGTGTGCACAAAAAGCACGCGGCGGCGTATCTGCTTTGCAGCCTGCACACGTGTGCAGGCGCGTTCACGATCGCGGCCCCTGTGCAGCCAGACATGCCACACATCTCCCACACTCCAATCGGGTGTAAAGTGTTGCCGTGCTCGGCGTGTCGATGCCCTCTAAAGCTTCTCTGCGTGTTTCCTTCAGGTGTCCAGATGCGTCTTGTGCGTTTTCAAACAGCCAGAAACATCTGGCTCGCTCTCTGTCAGATGCGTCGTGTTCTTAAAAGGCCACGTGACTGACAGCAGCAAGTGCAGGTGGGCAACAAAGGAAGCGTAGTTGAGGACGGTAGAATATGACAGATGTGTGATGTGCATGAATTTGCAGCTTCAGAAATGTAAGAATGTGCGCTTTAATTAACGTTCAGCTTAAATACTTTTTTTAAAGCGCAAACTGAGCCTGCAGAAACCTCGGCACATGTGCGGCCTGCCAAAGTCTTCATGGAGACTCCTGTGCTCCGTCACTGCTGCCACTATTTAACCCGAGGTAACGTCTTTGTTCTTTAACGTGCAGCCTTCAGAGCACATTCATCACTCTCCTTCCCTCATTGTTGAATAATATCCTCACCAAACCCCACGTGAAAATCCAACCACGCTGGTGGTTGGGAGCTGCGTAAACGCTCGGTCAGCTGTGGAAGGCACTGAAGGAAGCCACAAATTTGGGGGTAGAGAATGGGGGACCACAACACGTAAACACTGTAATTCAAAGCATCGCCCGTGCGGTTGGATGAAGGGTCGATGCATGAGGCCTTCGTGCGTTTAGAAACCGATACCGGCCGAGCTGAACCCCACTCCCCCCCCCCTGTTAAACAATCAGATCATTGGCAAAGTTACGCAGTAACATTACAGGTCATCCAGAACATCTCTGGAAGGCACTTTGTAAATTGTGGTAACTTCAGTCTCTCCGTTGAAGCCTTTAAAAATCTCCCTTTGAGCTTTATTATCGGAAAGACATTCAAACAAGAGAGTAACTTTAAGTTAAGAGGCAACTCGAGTTTGTAACATCATCATTATAATGTTCTGTCATTTGAAATGACAATGGAAACATGACGCATGCGTTGAAGGAGACATAAACCAATTATTTTGAAGCGTCTTTACCCAGCAGGTCGGTTTGTGCGGGTGGGGAGGGATTCCTCCTCCACCGAGGGAAGGCAACACAAACAGGACAATAGGCAGTAAGGGATGCGAGTGCTGCTTTCCTGGAGCCCAACCAGAGAGGCGGTTAATCATAACTCCTGAGCTGAAACTGAATTCACCACACCTATCAAAACCCATTTAGGATCATAGGCCAGAGGTCCAACCATTTACTATCTGTGCGAGCTCCCCCCCACGTTTTCTCTCTAATCCTTTTCTTTCACGGGAAGAAAACAGATGAATGAAAGCCAAGTACACACGGATAATCCCCGGCGTCTTTCCAAAAAGGAAATTATTATATTTGAAGTTATGAAAGTGCTTCCTGAAGTGAAGGAAATGCACTAGATTTTACAGGCCTGCGACTTGATCTAAGAAAAACATAAGCGGACGGCACACTGGCAGAAAGACAAATATATAACCTTCCACAACCTTCTCTTTCTCCTGCCGGCTCAGCCCCTCCATGCGCGTTGTGAGTTACAGTATATCTCAAAGCTGAAAGAATTTCTAGCAAAAAAAAGTGGTGGAAAACTCAAAAAAAAAAAAAAAAAAAGGTCCTTCTGGCCAGCGACATGAAGGGAGGAAATTGCATTGATTTAAGCTCAGCTTCTTTTGGCATCCGTCCGCCTCCTTCGTTCTTTTTTTCTTTCCTGAAGTGAAGCCGTTTGTTCCACGGCCGCCGGTTTAGATACAGTCATCTAAGATGTTCCTCTTTGTCTGTCATTTTATCCACGGTAAGCTGAGTGAGTAGCGGCATCTTCAAGCTTTATGACTGAAACTATAAACTGCTTTTGTTTTTTTCCCTCGGTGCAGAAGCTGGAATAGACAGACAATAGCTGCTTTCATGAAATGAAACGACATACGACACAATCTGCCATGTGTACAACGCGTGGCTGAATACCGCATTGAATCGGTTTTATTAAAGAAGAGAATATTAAAGAATACTGACAAAGAGTAGTTGGGTGTAGTGATATCATATGAATCATGTTTGTCCTCATTTTAAATTATTTTTATTATTTGTGTTATGTTATCTTCAATATTCTTTTGATAATAAATGACATGATACAAAGCACTTTTTTAATTAAGGCTTATTAGGATCAAAAGCCAATGTTTTAATAGTATTCAGTCCATTTCTTAATGCTTTTGTTAATCAAAGGACCATTTCGTTCAGTCACTGCAAGAATATCTGACTCTGCCTGAAATCAGCATCCAGAAAGCACAGAAATCTCGGAGGTTTCCCCTCGTCGGCCTCCGTGTTTTCACAGGCCTGGAATGCGCCGGACAACACGACCGCGACTCCCTTCTTCAGCGTGAGCCGCAGCTTTGGGACGATTGATGGCCGCTTCCCCGCCGAGTTCACACAGCAGCGGCCCGTTTCTGCGGTAATCGTCCGTCTCTCCCGGGTGGGCTTGTTTTCGTCACAACCAACATATTCCCTTATTAATCTCAGCTCCGCGTTCACACAACATCTCTTATCGTGCACCACCTGCAGGTTACGTAACGGCAACTGCCGCGAAAACCGCTACACGGGAAGCTTCAGGCTAGAAGTGCTTTTGACGGTTTGCAAACAAACACGCAACACCGAAGAGCGTGAGATCTCAACGAAAAGATGCATGTGTTACAAAACAAATGTCAATTCCGGCATCCGCGCGTCCGATCCCTCGCGGGAATATTTGGCTTTTCTCCACGTTTCAATCCCGCCCTCTTTCACGTCGTCTGTCACGAGTGAAACCCGAGCCGGCGGTTGTTAAAACAAGCCGTCCTCTCGCACACTGGAACACTTAGGGTTAGGGGCCTGACCCCCGTGACCTCTTGACTTGAGCTCGACACAGCTCCGAAGAGATGCCTCGTCAGCGCAGCCAGGAGGAGACGCTGAAGGGTGAAGGCTTCGGAGGTGTCACTTGTCCAACTCGACGTGCCAGACTTCAAGATTAGCACACACACACACACACACACATGCAACCGCTGACGGCTGGGCCTAGCGTAGCCCCGGGCGTGCTGTGATCGGTTGGTTCTACTAGGACCCTCATTCCATCCTTTGGTGGCCCAAACACATGCCCTCTGGTTTGCAGTGGTGGGGTTTATCAGACGTTAGGCGCCAAAGCAGCACAGTTCTCCCCTTCTAACCTCTGCTTGTGCGCCCTTTTTCCAAATCTTTTGCAATATCAAACATGGAAACTCTTAAAGTGACAAGTTTCTTCGCAGCAGCCTGAATATGTCATTAAAGCAGAGGGAACGAGGGGGGAAGGAGAGGCGCAGAGCTACACGGTTTTCAGCGTGGGAGATCATACATGGGCTGAGAGACCGTTTCAGGTCTTTCCAAGCTGTCGTTTTGAGACATAAATGAAAGTAAAACAACAGTGTGGGAGCCAGCCGAGTCTGTGGAGGCTCAAGGACTTCGTACTTTGAGCACCCGGTTTCATATCGAGCCAACACCACTTCTCAACCCAACTCTAGCTGTGCCTTCCAGCCATCCGTTTTCTCTCTCGGTCCAACCTACTTCCCTGCATGTCACACCAAAGGGCTCCTATCCTCTGCTCCCTCCTTTCTGCTCTATTCTTTCGCTCTGTTTGATTGATGAATTTCACATCACTCACTGGAGAAAAGAGGAACAACTGCCCTCTTTGCCTCCTTGCAGTCCATTTTCTTTACATTTCCCGCTCTCTTTTTCTGCCTGCCCCCTCTGCTCCACTTATGCATCCCAGCAGTCTAGATTTCCTTTCCTCAGGTTATAATAGTCAGACTGTGAAATCACCCGGGCCCCCACCCTCCTCCCTTCATCCCCACGTCCTTCTCTCCCCTTCCACTCCCGAACATCTCCCTCCTCTGATCCCCCTCCCTTCTCTCAATACTTAGACAATCTTTAATATTTATGGCCTGGGAGCTCAACGAGTGGGTGGGTGGGTGCTTGGGGGAGGGGGGGGCACGAGACTTTAGCTCGCATGTTGTCGGGAACCAACGAGGTTCTGCGGCAGAGGGTCGTGAAGCTGCAGCCCTGCGGAGCTGAGCCCCCATGCTGAAGTGATTAGGCCACAGGAAGCTGAACCTGACATTGCTGACACCGGGCGCCCCGACCACATCCTGCCCCGACATCCACCCGCACAACACGACACCACCTCTACGCGCCGACACCCGGCTCACCGTGGCAACCACGCCAGGCTGATTTACATTGTTCGATATTGATGGAAGGGAAGAAGATCCAGGACACTCAAAGTGGAAGAAAAAAAAAAAAAAAAAAAAAAAGTCTGTGTGAGATCTGTGTAAAAAAATAAGAAATAAAATAAATGAGCTTGAGGCAACTGCCTCTTTCATTGTTTCCCTGTCTCATGGTGTGTTGGCAGATATAAACAGGAAAGAAATTCAGCCTTCCAATTTCAGGCCTATTAAGTGTAAGTGGGATAACTACTGCAGGTGCTCTATCTTTCTTGGGATCACACGGATCTTTGACAGTACGTCTTTCTTCACATCGAACCGTCAACAATAATGTGTACTTACAAATTAAACCAAAGACAAATTTACATTTGAATGAAAGTCCTCCCACAGAAAGTTCAAGCATGTTGTGTTCTTTCCTACACGACTCATTATGATAAATACATGCTAATAAAATGAATGGCAGCTTGGTGTGAGCAGAAGAGTGGTTAATATAACCTTTGTGAAAGAGCACTACTGCCCTCCTGTGACTGGGGTGGAAAGGGCAGAATCCTAAACATGGAAATGGCATTTGATTTAATAAATGTAAGCTTAACCCCGTTCATGAAGTCAAAGATGTAGAACACGCTCACGAGAATAAATGATATCCAAACAAATGCTTTTTTTTCTTCTTCATTTCTTTTAATCTGCATTTGCTTCACTAGCATCTTACATCAACAGCAGCTAATTACAAAGGTTCTGGTGGCACATTTGGGCTTTTTAAAATCAAACTATTAAAATGTAATTCCCTCATCCGTTAAAAATTGTATATATTACATGCAGGTAAAATTAGGCACAGCAATAGTTTTGGTTCTTTGATGAGCATTCAGCAAATCTAATTCTTTATCCACATAAGTCCCACTTCCCATTTTAGCTGTTATTTGTTCTCACTGCGTCTCCCTCATCCTCTCCAGCACCAATCAAAACGTGCAGGTTTTTTTTTTTCCTTCTTCATTTCATTTTTAAAGATAGTGATTGCTCTCAGTTTGACTCCCGTCTCCGGTGAAAGTGTTTCATTTCACTAATGCAGAAGTGAAACCGTCTCACTGAATACTCTGGGGGCCCTGGAAATAATCAAAACACTGCAAGAAACCGGCGAGGAATAAAATCTCTGGTCAAGAACAAAGAAAAATGGAAATCAATGGCGGGATATGCAGATTTTTTTGACAGCTCGACACGCAGATAATCTTTTGGGAGTTTGCCCTCTGTTGCCTTTGCCAGGTTAAAATAACAACTGAGCGGGGAAATATAAAAATGCACTATGCTGTACAAAGGGCACAGCATTACACCTACTTAGTTTTTTTTTTTCTTTTTTCTGTGAAGCTATTCCAAAACAATCAATAAAAGAATGTACTGCATCGCAAGCAAGGCTGAATCGCCAGAGGCATGGTCACATCCACCAGTGCGCGGCTTCCGACCTCCAGAACTCATTTAAAGCCGCATTATTGAAAAGCTGCGGCGGGGATCTTATGAGCAGTTGTATATTTCGGTTTGCCGACACTTGAGGAGCTTGAGGAAAGCCTCCATTTTATGGGCGTCCTTCTTGAAGCAGCTGAGTAAGGTGTAGTCCTTCATCACGGATTCCACCATCTCCGGCTGCACGTCGTACTGGAACAGGGCTTCCTCGCTGTGGTTTAGGTTTAACAGGCCCTCGTCCAACATCTGCATGGCAAGAAAACGAGGGTAAACGAGTTTTTAAAAACATGCATTTCAAATCATCCAAAACAAATGGAACGAGTGGGAACCGACGCACCTCCTTGATGAGGACCACCACCCCTTGCTCCAGACTGATCAGCTTCTCAGACACCCACTTGGTCTTGTTGATGATCACTTCTGGAGCGGCGTCGTAGCGATCCAGGGAGGTCTGCAGGTAGACCAAAGGCTCCAGCCACGACTGCACCAGCATCAGCACCGAGTGGAGCAGCCATTTGTCCTGCGAGGCACACGGGGGCGAAGGCGTGAAATCGGCGAACTCTAATGGCCGAGATGCAGTAGAGCTGAAATAAACTAAATCTCAGCAATGGCCACGTCATAATTATTCTAAGATGGTAAAAGGACAAAAGAGATAAAAATACATTTTAAAAAAGAAAGACAACCTCCTCAGCTGCACAACATTGAGCCCCGACAGAGGGTTAAAATGTCACGAGTAAAGCAATGTGCTTTAATTCCCCTAAGCAGAGGCGACTCCAAAGCAAGTGCAAATGACCGCCGTACAAATGGCCATTAAACCGCAGAGAAGGATATATTTCAGCGTAAAGGGCAGAGGATGAATTATTAACACTATGTGCAGTTTCAAAGACCACATTTACTGCTATGGCGATGACATAACCTAACCAGCATTTTGAAAACAGTGGCAATTTAGTCCTTAAATATATTGTCCATGACATGTGTAGTAGACCCCTGTTAACTGAAGGAGGACTATTGTGTAACTTCCCATCACCCTTTCCATGAGCGGTTCAATCTAGTTTCCCCCGCTGCATGAAACCGACATTTGGCCCAAAAGGTCGTGTCCCCTTGGACAACGTTCTCAGCCTCAGCAGGCACGGACGAAAGAAACATTCAGTGTTAAACAGGGAAGTACGTTTAAAAGATTTGAGGACCTTTCATTGCAATTAGTGCAAAGCAGCTCATGGTTGAATAGCTGACGGGATAAAGCTAAAAAGGTAAAGAGGAGAGCTTCACTTGCACAGTGGGCAGCGTTGAAGCAGCTTGAGCTCAGCAGCCTGTGTGCAGAACCGCTGTCTGCTCAGTCACTAACCACCGCTTCATCTGCATTTCCTTCCCCCATACAAGAAATGGGACGTCACATTGATGAATTGGCACAAAAAATAGGAGCCGCGCACATGTGAACCCTCAAAACTTGAAAATAAATAAAAAATAATATCTATATATATAGATATATATAACATTTTTAACGCAATCAGCGCCTCTGTACTCACGGATATCTGCTGGACTTCACTCCTGGAGCTGGGGATGGGTAAGGTTCTGCAGGAGTAGCCTGCTTGGTTCCTCTGGAACTGCAACGGCAGCGGGATAAAAGTCTCCTCCTGCAAACCATACAAGCACGGTGGATGGATCGGCCGCACACATCTCATCGTTACACGGCTTTGACGGACGCATCCGCAGACCTTTTCTACATATTTAGGGTATTTTAGTCACACATGATTGCGCCTAACACTCGTAAGCAGAATACAGGCAAACAACGCTTCGGTTGATTTCTCAAATTGTTCTGACAACCTTTCCGTTCTCACAAGTGCAGAACTACAAGAACACACATACACCCCCCCCCCCCCCCCCCAAAAAAAAACCCCAGAAGCTTCACCAATCTCGCCCACACGGAGCCACAGCTGAGATTCATTGTTGTTTGGCTGCTCTCATCTGTAGACCGCATGCAGCGTCCTCTCCGTAACAAGTCCTACATCATCCCATTTCAAAGACCATTTTGGATCTCGAGCAGCAGAGTGAAGGGGATTCAACAGGCTACGAGACCTGCAGTATATCATTATCACGTTCGCGTTACCCCAGCGTTGGCCTGCTTCTTCAATAAAACATCGTCGGCTCAGAGGAGAGAAAGAAGATTACTTTGAGGCCGGGCAGCGGGGAGGATGCTCGTGTCAGAATCAAAAGCAAACAACACAGAGTATCTAACAGAAAGTGCCTTTGGTCCAGCGAAGTGAGAGAAAGGCCAACATTTTTGCTCTCATTAGAAGTCGTTCAAATTGTTGCCAGATTTGACGATTAGTCAAGTAACCGAACGTGGGAAATGTGAGAAAACAACATAATCACCTCACTCTCTGGACGCCACAATGTTTTGGTATTCTGTAAAAGGAAATATGCGGCTTTTCACATGCAAACTGAAATCCATTAAAGTATTAAAAAAAACTACTATGCTCGACTTGAACGAAGAATAATATCACAGATGTTTTTTTCTCTGAACGCGTTTCAGTTGAATCCCCCTGGTTTTAACCATAATGAAAGAATCCTCTACACTCCAGTGATGCTCAACGTGAAGAGTGATGAAGTTCCTCCTGAGGCGAACCACGTCTATGATAACTGGACACCCCCCCTTCCCACCCTATTGTCGTGTAACGCCCGGCGTTACTCACATACAAAGAGCACGATTCTTCCGAGACGCGGTAGATGAGCTCAGCGTGCTGGATGACTCGGTCTAGAAGTTTCTCCTGGGAGATGGAGGAGCAGCGGGAGACGCCGCCCTGCTCCTGCCTGCAGTCCAGTGGGACGCTGGAGGTCAACAGGTTGGGCCAGAGCAAGACGGCCCACACGCACCGGCGCATGACTGAAAGCAAACGCAGAGATACAGGTGTGACCACCGCTCACGCAAACACGGAAAAAACACAAAAAACCTGCTTGTACGTTTGTTGAGCGTCAGCCGCGGTTCAGCCCTTCAATGGTTTGTGAAGCAAACCAGTGCTCAGTGGATTTCAAACCCGTCAATACCAGATCAGCACAAGCAGTGAGTTACCTGAAACAAGGTGCATTCTGAGAGTCTTCAAGTCCTTGCTAGCTTTTCTACGATGTCGACTTGCTTTATAAAGCCTGAACAGGCGATGAATAAAAGGCAAGATTTGAGTCTTGCGTAGGTTTTTGTAAAATGATACAGGTCTTCCCAAAAGAAATGCATAATACAAAGATGGTAAGTATAGTCAGCCATGCTAGGCCTAAATAGCACATTTCCAGATTTCAAGTAACAAACTGGAGGTTTTACCCTAATATATTCGGCAATGTGAAATCTGGATTACCCAATAAAAATTGAAAATGCAAATGAATTTATTGCATTTCTAGCCCACTAGCTGCCCAATAATCCGGAATAAGGTCTGAGCCTGAACATTTATCAGACATAAGCTCAAAAAGAAATGGGCTAGTGTAGATGCAAACATGAAGGACACAGTTTGCAGAAGAGAGCGTAGAGCTGCAATAGACACGCAAATGAGCTGGAATAAATCACAGAGATCTAACAAAACCCTACCGAATCTACACTTATTTTCCATTCTGTTCAGAAAACAACAGTTGTGGGAGAGTAGCTCAACCCAGAAGGTAGACTTTAACTGTAATGACGGTAGCTGTCATAGAAAGGGAGCACATGTTTAGTAGTAATCCACGTCGGCTTGAAACAGGCTTCATTAAAAGCTCCTTTTCTTCCCTGACTGCACTACTTATTTAATCCGCCTTTAGGCAGGTGTAATCAAATTGGCAGGTTAACGGGTTGAATTGTCTGCTAACAAATCCATCCCTTCAAATAAGACTAGATTAATCCTGTAGTTTTTTTTTTTATTTAGTTTTTTTACTCGGAGTATAACAATGAAGAAAGCGACAACATTCGAGAGGCCCCCGATGTCTCTTTCCTCAAAGATGTTTAAGGATAAGCAAAAAGAAGGATGCGGATCAGAGCGCGGCAGCTGATGCGTGTCTTGTTTCTCAAGAGATAGTTTCCGCCCACCCTCAAGAAACCTGAAGCCTCATGTCACATATGCCAACCTTTTACACATTAAACAGTGTTCTCTTCTCATCCGCGTTCGTGCAGTCCGTTAATCCACTTTTTCCTTCTTCACTCGTTTTCCCTTCGCCACCTCATCGGTGACGGAGCAGAAAAAAGTAAAGCACACTTTTTCAAATAAAAAATAAATCTTGTTAAATCCTTTTTAAATGTGCAGGGAACGCATTTTGGTACATTTCTTAGAAGATCAGGGTATTATTTATCTATCATATCCGAAGTGGATATTGTCGAAAAAAAAAAAAAGGTATTTGTTACCCAAACTTTTACAGGTTTAGACAATTTGTAGAAGTAATTCAAATTTGAGGAAATCCATGTAAGTGCAAGCACAAAAAAAAAAAAATGAGTGTCTGTCATTACCAATATTTCAATCTTTTACAACAAGATGAAAGGATGTCATCCATTATGAAAGTTAGATGAATTGGGGATGGCCTTCAAACTCGAGTTTGGTCTCAATCACACAAGAGATGCAATAATGATTCAACATCCGCTGTAACTGAAGTATCAGAGATCTGCAAAAAAGTGCTTGGTGCTGCCAGCGTGGACTGGCGTCACTGGGACACAGAGAAAGACTGTGGAAGTGCGGCTGAGTGGACTGAGCGAGCACTTGAATCTGGAGCCGGATGTGGAGGACTCATCGGGGCTCTTGTTGGTACGAGTGAGTCGCTACAACAACACTCCTTGAACGTCAACGCGCGTTGCGTAACTGTCCAATGATCGCCCAGTTCAATTGTTCACACAAGTCTCCGTTTCCTGCTTTTGTCATGTTTTATTCTGCTGTTGATTCTACGAACACGCGGTTTAATTAGGTGGCACCCGCCATGCTGTCCTCTCGTTATGCAAAGCGGTCTCGGCGCTCTTGGCTGGTTGTGTAATTGAGAATTGTGTGCTCAGGCTGCAGAGAGCAGATTAGGCCATATTGCTTGGAGGGGAGTCGTCTGTAGTGGGAGAATATTGTCATGCAACATTATCATACGTTCTCTGTTCTCCATCATACAATAAAAAGGCGTAACAATTTCTCAGTGCATACGTTTACTTATCTACTAGATAACTCATTTTAATTGCACACAAGTCCATCGGTGGCTGTACGCCTTCAGTAGAAATGGAATCCATTGTTGCACAAACAAGATGTTATTTCAGTAGGTTCATACATTTTAGTATTCTTCCATTTTGATACACAGTACTTTGAAAAGGTAACAATACTTTTACTTGAGTGTAATATTCCAATATTTGCTGAACCGTTTCAACTTTTTGACGACAATTGCTTGTTGTCCCTTTTACTTTTTGAATATCAACGGACTCCTTCGGCTAATTGTTTAAGGTCGTGGTTGTTGTTGTCGTCGTCATTTCATCATGACACTGGCTGTCTGGTCCTCATCCTCCAGTGTGAGGCCGACAACAGGTCAGAAGAAATATTGATAGATTTAAGTAAAGGGTAAATAATAGGACTTCCATAATTTGCACAAGTGACACCTGTGGACCCTCTTTCTCCTTTTTACTCGGCCTGCGCGTTCGTAAACACGGCGTTTGAGTTGTTTTGCCAGCTTTGATGTCCCATCACGGGTCATTTTCATGCTCACTTTTCTTTTCTCTTTATTTCTCATTTGAATGAGCGGTTTGCATCTTCACAGCAACAACCCATCATTACAGTTCCCATCTCGCAGATACTTTCTCATCTGTACTCTTGTATTGCCCTTTGACAAACTACCTCAGCCAGCCATTCGATCTCAAGCTGGATATTAAATTGCAAACACATATTTCATTAAAATATTCCAGAGCTTTTGTCAACTGATAGAATAGTGGCAATGTTCCTGCATAATTCCATATATTAAATATTGAACTGAAAGTTCAGTCTTTCTAAATAGCTCCATGGGTTCAGTTGCGTGCTCGGAGCACTTGTGACGGTCTGTAATTCACTGCAGGATTTAATATTGTTGCACGGCATTCGGTCTGGTGTCCATGGCTACGGAAGCTGTGCAGCGCCTCCGTGTCGCCTCGCAGGTGACTGAACGTCGACATGTCGTAGGTAGATGCACCGGTTTCTCAGCGAGTAATATATTTATCTCCCGTTAATGTTCTCTTTAAGTGGACCTGCTATTATACGGCCCTTTCAATTTGTGGTCAGTTACCAAGAAAAAGATTTTTTTCTCAGTGCTCTGAAATATTTTAGTTTTCAATCAAGCACATTTGAGAATGACTTACTTGTGTCGGCTTGACAACTGCTCACATGGCCTTTGGCTTTTTGCAACACCATTTTTCCCTCTTCTCACCTTTAATGTTCTTTGTCATTTTAATCCGTGGGCCCTTTTCTAGCGTGCTGCGTCTGTCGTGGTTGAGCTGTGCCCCTCCTACCAATTGACCAACGCGGCTGTAACACATCTGCTCATCAAGCCCCATGCCTGATATACTCCAGAGCGTCCTCGAACCTGGAACCTGTGGCACCTCTGAAAAGAACTTGACGTGCAACCTTCTCACCGTATAGTTCATCTCACCCTGATGAACGCTACCTGTGGACACAAGAGCGTTGGTGAGAATTCTAAATTAGCGTCATTTCGATGCCTCGATAACTCGTGTAAAGCTGTGCATCCGGCCCTTTATGTCCCATATTTAAGTCACACTTTTGGAATTTGTCATTTCGAACGCTGTCAGAAGCAGAATTAAGGGACAAGGAAATCCAAAGAATAGGGGGAAACTAAAGGAGTGCTGTCGATGCCTTGTCACCTGAGGGTCAGACTGTCACGGAAATAAAGACCCAATGGTTTGATATGAAAAACGTCCGCCTGTCAACAACTTCATGTGAGGTGGTTGAATCATTTTCATTTCTTCATCTTGATATTAGTAGTGTTGTACATTAACATCCTTGACCAATTTAAATATAAAGCAATTTAAACTTAAATACCCCAATGCAGCGTTGCTAAGCTTATTTAAACCTTTAACACGATTTGGTTCCCATTTGCTTCAGTTGTATTTCTGTGTCATAATGTGGACAATGTTTTCCACATAACGTTACTCATGAGGTGACAAATAGCGGGAGTCATCAGTGTTACTTTTCCAGGTTTTCTGTTTCATTTGCACCTGCACGGTGCATTCACCCGTGTGCACAGACACTTCATTATAGGCTTTTTAGGAACCTCTGAGTTTGTGGTTTGAAATGTAGGGTGAGAATTGCATTCACCAAATAACTAAGATTTCCATTAATTAAAATACTTAAAGGATAAACCCTCTATGACATCATGTCTGCCACCTGAAGTATGAAGTGTGTTACCAAAATAAGAATTAAAATAGCAAAACATGTATTTTAGCGGTAATCCGATGTGATTCCCATTGCTTGAACTGTGCTCTAGATTCCACCAACAGCAACGTGCTGCAATATTTATGATCCTCTGTATAATTGAAAAGGGGTTCACCATCCGTTATACCTCGTCCCCTTTTTTTCAGAATTCAGATTTTCTTTCAACTTTCACCACAGTAGTGTGTTGCTGAGCACGTTGTGCGTGTTCTTCTTTCTGTAGCAGCGCGCGCAGTTTCACGCATTCAAAATCCGCTGTAAGCCTCCCGTGGAGCGTCCGGCCCGGACCTGAAACCTCGAAGCTGCTCTCACCCCGGACCGCTTCCGCCATGTTGTGATGTCTGTTGTTCTCTTCCCATCGGTCCAGCAGAAACACAATGCGCTTGAATCGTAATTCATACCTCCAAAAGGATACGAAAGTACATAACTTGTATAAAGTCAGGCATCTAATTATCTGTTACATTTTCTTAATTTTTTACCTTTTTGTTGAGGAATGTAATCAGTAAAAATAAAAAGTCTATGTCCCTGCCATGTGGTCACCGTGATTGCACGCTTGTAACGGTTTATTCACTCCTGAAGAGAAAACGCGCCCTCGACCCCCTCGTGCAACACGGAAGAGGACACTCATGGATCACTCGTTGTCCCGACTGACTTCTCATGCTCGCCGATGTTTGATTGGCAGGATTCTTTGATGGGGACATGTTGCTACTTTCTCGGATGATAGAAAGAAAGGTTTGAGTGCTTGTGTTTGTGCTCGAGATGAAAAGGGAGAAGAGAAAAAGGTTAAATTAATGTCAGGGGTGTAACTGCATTTGCATTAATTCAAGATGATGCAAATTATAAGTGTGGGCAGGGAGTCGAAGTCAACTGAATTAAGAAAAGGAACAAAAAGAACTTGAAAAGCATTACTGGATATTTTCCAGATGTAATGTATTTTGGATTTATCTGAGACAGTAACACCCATTTTTCATGTTTTATGTTCATCTGTCATTGTTTCATTCAGCAATGTTGTTCTTCAGTATATTTCATTTTACTTGATAACATTTACATCTTGCAGCTTGTTTTAGCTGTGTCTGTATCCCGCAGACCCCCTCTAGTATTTTATAAGTGCACTCGCAAAGAGACAACATTTTTTTCTTTTTTAGATTCACCACCACATCAGTGTTTTTTCCCCCGTGTCCCCGAATTTTTCGCACAATTTGTGTGACACTTTCAGTTGACTGCATGACAGTGGTTGTGCACAAGAGTACTGAATATGTGACTCAGTGCTTTAAAATTGACAAGAACTAAACTGTTTTGGGCGTTATGGCTCGTAGCTGTTGACTGTTTTTTGTTAACAGCTGTCTGGTTTTTGATGTGCACCAACGTGGCCCCTCGTGGCATTGAAACACAATACGATATGGATGTCTTCTTCTCAGGCTTCAAAGGAACAGAAAAGTTACTTATTCAAGTCAGACCCCCCCCCCCACACTGGGAAGCCTGCAGAGTTCTTCCTTTTTTGTCTGGATTGATCATTTATCCTATGAATTACTACGAGCTAAATCATGAAAACAAAAAAGAGTTGGTTGATTTTTGTCCGGGGTGTCTTAATGTTTCATGAGATGAGTTAAGTGCAGGTTATAACTTTCTAACCCTAGTTCAATTAACACTGGGAGATTCTTCTACTGAACTCCAATCACAAGTTGTGCTCCCTCTCATTGTCTGCAGGCAGAAGCTACAGCTTCCATGTTGATGCTTGTTGAACGTGTTAATAAATTGTTAGCTTTGGTAACGTGGAATGTGCCATTAAACTTGCAGCAACGAGAGTAGTCGTCTGTAATCGACCCCGCCGCGCCCGCTCTGATCCGTTTTGTTGACTTTGCTTTGTGTGTTTGCGTAACGTTAGTTGGAGGACGTCGGCCCCGATACAGAGCAGAGAAGATGCGAGCTGCTGTCTCATGAATTAATGATAAAAAGGACGAATAAAAGATGAACACTGAGATTATCAATACTGCTGTTGGAACTCATCCATTTTAGATGTTTTGCCTCTTTACGACTGGTGTTGTAAGTGGGTCATTGTGAGTACGTGTTAGTGCGCGTGCCTGCATATGTACTTGAATTTGCATTTGTGCCCAATTTGTTTGTATCTTCTGCGTAGAGAAGATGGCGACAATTTGAGAAATCTTAACAATTAATGTTGATGTATTATCAATTAATAGCAGTGATTGGGTAGAAAGATAAAAAATACTTAAATGAACTAACAAACTAGTAATTCTAGAACTATAGAAGTATAACTAATTGGTCAAAGTGAGACAAAGTTAAAAACACATTAAATGGCGTGCCACATGCAGCATATTGAAGAATAGTACAGCTGATAAATCAGTTTCAGTGTCATCGTGTGTGTGTGTGTGTGTGTGTGTGTTCCCTGATTGCACTCATCCTACTCACCTGCCCGCTCCACCCAGCTGCGTCCAATGGTCTCATCCCCCCACTCGTACCCGTCCTCCAGATGTCACACCGCCATTGTTCTTCCCCTTGTGCTCTTCGTGTCTCCTGAGCTGATCCCTCGTGTTTATTCAGTGATTTATGACTTTTTTGTTGAAGTTTTTCTTTTGGTGAACAGTAACAAAAAAAAAAAACTGCCCTCCGTCTCCAGTATCGGCCTCTGCCCTTGAGTCTTAGTGAGACAAATAGAGTATTTTTGATGCAAATTCCTAGTTAATACAAATGGTGTTTGCATTGGATTGAGCCTTAAGTCCTGCTAGAACCACTTTTGGGGGACAAATTTTTCCTATTCTGTTCTTTATTGTAAAACTTTAATACCCATGAGCATCAGCAGCTACAAACAATGCACTTGGTAACTGTAAATTAACAGTAACATTTCTCCTTTTATACGCTTTTCTTGTTCTCTCTTAAAAAAAAAAGAATTTAACTTGCATGTTATTTTTGTCAATTTTCTTAATTAATTACCAGACAGCACTTAAAAAAAAAAAAAGAAACACCTTTCATTTTTTGTCACAGCACGTGTCCCAATACACGTCGTAATGTACCTGATGTATGTAATGTACATTTTTTAGCTTGTGTGATACAAGTAATTTAAAATGAGTTTAAAACTTGCTTTTTAGTTTTTTTATGAAGCGGTTGCGGACGTGTCAGTAAGCCATCGTTTGAAAAATAATTGCAGCGGCAAGCCATTTCCCATTAGCATACATATTCCCACCCTTTTTATTAAGATCCTGCACCACAGCAAATGTCATTTGACCTCTCCTTATCTAATAGTTGGCGTCCGCATTCATTTTTTCCTCTTTGAACTCTTCTGGTTGACAGAAAACCACTCGCCCGTCGGAGGCAGGGGCCCTGGAGAGTTGCAGATGACAGTCCTGGCCTGATCCATTACCACTTCGCCCCGGGCTTAATTATCATCTCCCTCCAGCAACATGCAACACTCTCTCCTTCCAACGCAATCTTGCGCCAACTTCTCAATCTGGTTGCAGCAGGAGCGACACTTGTGTTTCTTTTTGCATTCACAGTAACCCCCCTTCGGGGGCCTTTGCTGGGGCACACCTGCATGCATTAAAAACAACAATTACAGAGCGATCACGACGATCAGCGCTGACGAATTCAGCTCCTGAGTTTGTTATTTCCCGGTGGGATTTTGCGGCATCGCGGAAAGCACAAGCAGTGGCGCGTCGTGCCTCTCTCCGCCCCAGCGACGCCACGCGTCATTTCTTTTGACAGGTCCCGGGGATAAAGAGAGCAGGCGTAAAGCTTCAAAATCGAATTGGTCACACGGCCTTGCCGATCACGCGGGCTCACGACCAAGGTGAAGCCGCTGTTACGCGTCTGCCTCTGCTCTGTGATGGAAATGAAGCCTGGTGTCCACACCCACACCTATTGAGCGGGGGATTTGCGTGGGCCGAGGTACAAGCGCGCTTCGATCGCCACTGTGGGAGAAGCTTCGGCTTTGCCCTTCTTCAAAGTGATATTTACTAAAAGGAAATGCCTGCCTAGGTTTATTCAAAAGGAAGCTCCTGTTATGGTGGGAAGACAAAAAGGT